ACGACAGATATGCTTATTTTGTTCTGTATCGTTTCGGGGGTGACAACGCGTGTTTGTGTGACTCTGTGGCACACCCAATACCTTGAAAATATTTTTCCAACATCCCAGAATCACCCTCATAACGTTAGGCCCGTCAGAGTAGCACATACGGATTATTGCGCCTGCACAGTTGTACGTATTCTTCGCATAGGCCGAAGGTAGGCTGGGGTATGGTAGGTTATAAGTTATTTCGCGATAGCGTAGAGAGCACTATTTCGCATAGTTTTTTAGGGTTTTCTAAAGAAACATTCGCCTTTGAAAAGGTCTATTTTCGAAAATTACGACAGATATGCTTATTTCGTTCTGTATCGTTTCGGGGGTGACAACGCGTGTTTGTGTGACTCTGTGGCACACCCAATACCTTGAAAATATTTTTCCAACATCCCAGAATCACCCCCATTAACTATTTCTTTAGAGTTCCGGTTTGTTTTACAATAGTTCTAGAGTTCTATATCATTAATGACAATAATTCTAAAGAAATAGTTGATTTTACTGATTAGGTGTGCTGCGAGACCGTAGCGCACCTTCTTTTAAAAGTCTATTTTTTTGTATTTAATGACCGGAACTATATAAAATTGTTGCATAGAGCTCTAGAACTTTTCAAGAGAGTATCAAAACTGCAAAAAAAATGGCACATTTTGAAATATGGGGCGCCAAGTCTTGGCACACCATATTTCAAAATGTGCCATTTTTTTTAGACTTCTGATACTCTCTTGAAAAGTTCTAGAGCTCTATGCAACAATTTTATATAGTTCCGGTCGTTAAATACAAAAAAATAGACTTTTAAAAGAAGGTGCGCTACGGTCTCGCAGCACACCTAATCAGTAAAATCAACTATTTCTTTAAAACTATTGTTATATATGATATAGAACTCTAGAACTATTGTAAAACAAAGCGGAACTCTAAAGAAATAGTTAATGTAAATAGTTTTTTTGATTAGGTGCGCTGCGAGAACTTAGCGCACCTTTTTTTAAAAGTCTATTTTTTTGTATTTAATGACCGGAACTATATAAAATTGTTGCATAGAGCTCTAGAACTTTTCAAGAGAGTATCAGAAGTCTAAAAAAAATGGCACATTTTGAAATATGGTGTGCCAAGACTTGGCGCACCATATTT